TAATACCATTCCAAGTATCTCAGTAAACACAGCTATCAATAAATAAAGAATATTACAAACAGGAAACAACACAAATAACCAACATTTGTGATGAATGGATAAACAAATTGTGATGTATCCATATAATGGAATACTATGCAGCAATTAAAAGAAACAAACTACTGATAAAGGCAACAACACAGATGAAATCTCAAAACAATTATGCTGGGTGAAAGAAGCCAAAGGAAAACCAGTATATACTGTATGATTGCATTTATATAAAATTCTAGAATACAACTAATCTGCACTACAAAAGGCAGATGGTTGATTGCCTGGAAACTGGGGAGGAAGGAGGCAGGAGGTAGGATTACAAGGGGTATGAGGCAATTTTGGATGGTAATGGATAGGCTCATTATTCTGGCTGTGGTGATCACTTCGTGGGTATGTATATGTGCACATATATATCTCAAGATTTATCAAATTATACATTTTAAATATGTGCAGCTTCTTGTATGTCTATTATACCTCAATAAAGCCGTTAGAAAAGAGTATGGCAAACAATTAAAACCTCTTATGGCCAAAAGCGATTCATGCATATCCCCCAAATCAGCACCTATTCCTGTATTCTCTCATTTAATAATGGCATTATTTATCCAGTATTCTTAACCTAAAAAGTCATAATCCTAAAATGCGCCTTCCCTCGATACTACCCAGTCTAACACTTCATGACATTCACTGTTCTGCTGGCAAGGCTGTCATGCTTACCAAGTCTAAGTTTTTTAGGAGGGCAGGGACTTAGGTGTCACTAGGATTTAAAGCCATGCATGAAAAACAGTAGATACTCAAAGTTTGTCACATGAATACACCACACTTATCTGTTCTATAATCTGTCTTCTCTTCTAGACTAAATTTTATGAGGACAAGAGACCCCATATTATTCATTTTGCATCCTACAGGTCTTAATCTAGTAATCGTTCATTGGATAAATGAATGTTCTACACAATTAGTTTCACACTTAATCCTGAAAACACAGCTTAATCTTTGATTTATATACATGAGTATGTTATGGTATTACCATAATTAGAAATGTTAATATTTAAAACACTGAAATTCCCAGAGACATTGGGGGTGGTTCTAATAAAATCAGGATGCTTTTTAAAATGGGGAACAGATATTAATATTTCATCAAATGTAAGACTAAGTATTCAAATTCCTATATCAATTCATACTACTGTCCTTAATAACCAGCATTTAAAAAAATTGTACTATTATTTCAGACACTGAACAGATCAGAAAGCATATCCAGCTATCTTACCCAGTCAGCATTTTTCAGCTCCTCCAAGTCTGTGCTAGATTCATCACGCTTTTCCATTTCTTGAATTTTCTTAAGATTCTACCAGTTAAAATAAAAAGAAAACAGCCATGAAATTTTCATTAAGTTACTTTCTCAAATTAAAATTCCTGAGTTCTTCAGATAAAATGTATATCAAAGTATCACTGAAGGAGATGGTACAGAATCTATTCCTCTGTAAATTTTAAAGGTCAATTAAAATGGATACAGTCTTATAGAGGGATAGACAGAGATCGCTCACTCTAATTTCCTTTTAAGGCCTTGTGGTTAAGCCTTCAATCACAATATTAATTTATAGTTCTTAAGCTATATTGGCAGTTCCTTCTCCCTCAAACCCATCCATATTCACTCCATCATTGAATCTCATGGATATTACTTTCTCCATATTTTTTTTTTTTACTTAAGAGCCCCCTTATTTTCATCTCTGCTGCAAATCCCTTACTCCAAATATCATCATATTGTGCCTGGGCTTCTGAGTTGATCTTGCCCTGGACATGCTCCTCTCCTTAGCCCTGGCTGGTCTCTTGTATTGCTCACTACTCTTCCTTCAAATACCAGAGCCAACAGAATCACCAGTTCTTCAGAGAAGCCTTTCTTTCCTCCCTGAATAAGTCGAATGCTCCTATTTTAAAATTCTATAGTACCATATACCTTTCTTTCAAGTTCTTATCAACATTGTAATTTTATACTTATTTTTGCCTTCCCTCTAGATTTCATGAGGCAGATTCTATCTTTAGAAGCTAACACAAGCATGGACACTTTCTGATGTTCCATTGTATATTTAACATTCATCAAATAATTTAATGAATAAATTTCATTTCACATACTTGCAGTCCTGGACTATCATTTGGGTGATTTAAACAGTTGTTTACCCTTTTAAAGCTTTATAA